AAACACTGCTACAATTTCCCCCTTTTCAGGAGGACTCTGTGTAACAGTTTGTAAGCTGAAATCAGAGTTATGCAGAAGTAAAGAGCACTGTTGGATTGGTACCTTGCTTCTTCCCTAAATATTTCATCCCATTTTATTTAAAATATTCTGAGTTGGCTTGGTTGTGAAATTACTGAATTGTATGAGAGAGAGAAAAACCAGGTGAGCTGAAAAAGGATGTGAAACTATTGTTCATCCCAACAGAACAAGGAATGTGCAGAGAAAAGTTGCCTACCAACCTGATTTTAGAGAAATGTTTTGGATCTAAAAGACTCTGGACCTTTCTACATGTAAAAGTAAATGGAAGCACACAGAAACTTGTGGAATCCTGGGGAAGTGGTGGTAACCTGTCGTGATTATTACTAAAACAATTAATTTGTTTCAAAAGTATTTTAAATACAGCATGAATCACAAAGCAGATGATGTGCAGCTCAGACCTCATGAAGTGTTTAATTTGTAAAGATGATTTTTGAGTAGAACATTTCTTTATGGCTTTCACTTATGTGAGTAGCATAGATCATCCTGAGTGCCTCAGAAGGGCCACTTCCATTTGCTTGTAATATATGAATATAGATTTACCAGAATCCTTTAGAAAGGTTTGACCCCTGGGCTAATATAGAATAAGTGTATATTTTTAGGGTTGTATCTTATGGGACCTTCTTTATAGTTGGGAGACATATTAGATAAGGTTTTGGGCCCAGAGTGCCTTTCCTCAGGTCTGGGAAAGAGCAACTATAGCCTAATCTAAATAAAACAAATAAAGGGTATTTTAAACAGATAACCTAATTTTACAAAGGTTATCTTTATTTGTTATGCAGCTACTACCTGAGGTTGTGTATGTGCCTCAATAAAAATTACATTTAATAAAGTTTTCTTTATGGCAACATAAATGGCAACAAATAGATGCCCCCACCCCTTTTTTGCAGCACACCCATCTGTAACAAAAGGTTAAAATAGTGCCACTTTGTTGCAGTGGATTTCTATTTGCTTTGTGATCCGAGAGTGTAAGCAGCTCAGAGTTGCCCACACTGTCTAGCCAACCCAAACAGTTGCTCCAGAGGCTTTAGGGACCCAGTCTTGTCTACCCCAGGAAACTACCTGCAGGATCAAACCTCTTGTTTTATCTGGTATTCAGCTTAGGCTGTATCTGCATCTTTTTTGGATTTGAGAAAAGGGTACTCTGTGCCTGAAAGCTTGTCAGACAGTTCTTACAATTATACAGTTGGTCCCATCCCCCCGCAACCCTCCCGTCCCCCCAAGCCCTTTGCTTGTCCCCCAAAAACCCCCTTGCTTGCATATTTGTTTGGCCATCACAACTACATTGCCATTATGACCCTACCATAATATTGAATAAATTTCTTAATGGGAGAAAAGCAGCAAGAGTGAATTCTGTGGAAGTCAGAGACTCTAAATTAGATGTTTAGTTGTGGATAAAGTCACCTTATTCTTGCTGTGATTTTTTTTCATAGATTTCATAGACATTAGGGCTGTAAGGGACCTTGGAAGATCATCGAGTCCAGGCCCCTGCCCCAGGGGCAGGAAGTCAGCTGGGGTCATAGGATTCCAGCAAAAAAAACATCCAAGTTTCTCTTGAAGGCGTTCACCTTTGGTGGCAGGCTATTCCAGACCTTGGGGGCTCAGACAGTAAAGAAGTTCTTCCTTATGTCGAGCCTGAAACAGTCTTGGAGGAGTTTATAACCTTTTGACCTTGTCATCTCTTGGAGTGCTCTGGTAAACAAACATTCCCCCAGATCCTGGTGAACACCCCTTATAAACTTATAGGTGGCCATCAGATCACCCCTGACCCTGTGCTTTTCCAGGCTGAAGAGTCCCATGGCTCTCAGCCTGTCATCGTAAGGTCTGTTTTCCTGACCTCTGATCATGCATGTGGCTCTCCTCT